GCTTCGTATTTTCTTTCCTAAGTGGTTCTGAACGTGTCTGACATCATATTCATGTTCGCCAGAGTGAGTTCTATCTGACCATGTCTTCAGAATATGAAAACGTAGGGTGGCAGATATAGCTACTGATCCGGCGGTGTCCTTTGGGTATTTTCAAACTTGTTAACTTTTTAATCTGAGAAGTTGCCAGAATATACACTCATTTTATAACGAGTGCGATTTTCCTTTTGGATAATAGCATAAAATTTGTTCTTTTCTTCGTTGCTTGTTTTATATCTATTTCTATATGTACACAGAAGATGACAGCTCTGTATCTCAAAAAGTAGACAGTACTCTTTTCTAAAGAACAGCTCGGCACAGAGCACAACTTGTGTACTTCAAACTGCCAGGAAAACTGGAGAGGGTTATTTCCAAATTTGTTAACTTTCTAATCTAGGAAGTTGGTAGAAAATAGCATAAACTCGCAGCGCGCACTGTTTGTTTCGAACAAACAATACGTGAACATTTCAATGAAAATATAAATGTTTTCCTTTCCTTATTTTATTCTTTGAACGCTAATTGCGAATACGGAAAAATCTCGAGATACGTTTCTCTAGAAAAAAACCATCAAATTTTGAGCTGTTCTCTGTTCTCGGTCAATTTATGTTGAGATATAGTCGGTCCGCCTCTTTCAGATCAAAACTGTACTGATTTTCTCAATATTTCTTCTATTAAATAAAGTTTATAAAGCGATAGAAACGATTCCAGTGTATACAGTGTTTCTAACAATGTTACGCTTAATGTTCGCGTACGCCTTTGTTCCAAAGCGTATGGTACGCGAACTGAATTGAAAATACGCTTTGCATCAACCAACAGGAAACGAGAGAACGACAGAATCCACGAATTATCACGTCTCGGTACGCTCTGCTGAAAATTCTCTTTAGAAAGCCTGAGTGAAGTCCACATAAGAACGGTAATCAGTTCACTAACAATAACCCCTCCAATCGGTCCAATCTCATCAGACACACATCCGATTATCATATTAGCTGGTTTCGACCCTTCCGAGCGCTCTCAGTCGAATATACTCGACACAATCTACTTCAAACCAAGCAACAGTTTAGTACCAACAGTATGACTGTAAAATCGACATTTCTCAGTAACCATATCAAGCCTAGCGCAATACATCATTCGATGTGTCTTGAAAAGCTCTACAATATCTGTTAATAGCACAATTAACGAAGCCTGGCAGCCGGTTTTATGAATCAAATACTAGATTTTTTCATAGGTCGCCGCTATAACTTACTACTCGAACCGTCAGTCACTTTTCTCTATGAAACTAAAGATGATCATTAATCATTGATATATCATTCGATGCGCCTTGAAAAGATCTACAAGATATATTAATAGGAAACTTAACGAAGTCTAGCAGCTGTATTTGGGTATTAAATACTGCACCGCTTTAACCTAGAATGACTCCAAAAATTGCTTCGCTTTTACAACGAATTTCCATATTGAACTCTGGGAGTTGGTTTTCTGAGATTTTGGTTGTCGAGAGACCCTCGTTTAAAGAGCTACGATAGAACCCTTTTATACAGCGAAGTAGATTTCAAATTCTATCAGTTGCTTAAATCATTTTCAAATTTGTTCTAGCTTGTATCATCCACGAGAAAGATCAAAAATAAAGGAAACGAGCAATTTTTGGAGTCATTCTAGGTTAATGAGGCGCAGTATTTAATACCCAAACACAGCTGCTAGACTTCATTAAGTTTCCTATTAACACATCTTGCAGATCTTTTCAAGGCGCATCGAATGATATATCAGTTATTAAAGATTCTCTTTAGTTTCATAGAAAAAAGTGATAAAGAGTTCAACTGGCATAACAAAACCTATGTAGTTTTTTCGAGAAAAAATGAACAAGAGTTTCATTGACATAGCGGCGACCTATGAAAAAGTCTAGCATTAAGCTCATAAAATCTGCAGCCAGGCTTCGTTAACCTTCCTATTAACATACCTTGCATAGCTTTTCAAGACGCATCGAATGATATATCAATGATTAATGATCATCTTTAGTTTCATAGAGAAAAGTGACCGACGGTTCGAATAGTAATCGGATGTGATTCTGCTGAGGTTTGGACCGATTGGAGGGGTTATTTTTAGTGGGCCGAGTACCGTTCTTATGCGGACTTCAACTTTTTGGAAGTTAACAAATTTGTATTTTAACTTTTAGTTATTGTAGATTGGCTTTAGTTTATTTATTAAGTTTGAGAGCTAACTATGCTGAAGCTAAACGCTCGTCGTTCGCATTGTCATTTTTTGAATCAAAAATGTTATTCAAACCAGAGTTTAAATGAGAAAAGTGGCAGTTCTCAGTCTGATGAGGAAATACAGATTGAAGTCAATGACAGTGAAGATCAAGAGTCACTGAATTTTAAAGAGAAAGTCATATTAAATGATATTGCTGGCATACTTGAATTGTGTAAATCCAATTGTCCAACAAGATATCTTACAAGGGAACATTCCCAGATGTACTCTACCAAATTCAATGATCTTCGGGCCATAAATACTATATATGGTCGTAGTAAAAGGCCTAAAAGGATTTGAGTTCATAGTGCTTCCTTCTTTTTTAATTTTGTTTGTATTAGGCGCATTAACAAAATTAAAAGTTCTACAACTTCTTCAAAATAGCGATCTGAAATTTTTTTCTGTGGTAGCTTTCGATATACCACAGAAAGTTTCAGCTTTCAAGGTTTTTTCCTTGCCGCAAGCTATACCTTTTGAAGAAAGCACTATGGACTCAAATCTTTTTAGGCTTTTTACTACGACCATATATAGTATCTATGATTATTACTATTTTCAACGATGGTTCATTCGCAACGACGTCAACGATTTATTGGGTATTTGATTTCTCCGATCCTGGGTTAAAACTAACCCATTCCTTTAATCGATCATCGAATGACACTGATGTGCAACCAGTATTGATATCGTTAGTGGCTGTACTTAATTCACCACTTATGAGAAATTTCTTTATATCAACACTATAATTATCACCATTCAATACAGATGATGTACAATAACTCGTGCGACTTTTTGGAAGTGTAAAAACACTATTATCAGTAATTTTGTCGCCCTTTTTGAAAAGTCTCCCTAACTTGCCTCCCTCCTTCTTCAAGACCGTATAGAATAAAGATCTGGATGAATACGAGAAATTTCGCAGATTGGACACGGCCATGCAGTCCGCGGATATCAATAAGCTTGAAAAGGTCACTGACGGACATGAATGAACAATAATTCCTCCAACGAGCACGGATTTGTAAAAACTTTTGGTTTTCTCGGAAGGAGGAAAAAGGAGAAAAATTCACCAACAAGCACAGACAAACATCTCAAAGGATCTCTGTCGCTCTGCCAATTCCTTTTCTGCCAATGACGTTCTGTCAATTGGCAGAAGGCCATTAACGTTCTGCCAATTGGCAGAATCGCCTCTGACACTCGGCCAATTATAAAATTTTTTGCCAGTTGGCAGAAAATCATGTGACATTCTATAAATTGGCAAAAAACTCGTATATATAAAAGATATCACTCGGTTATAGTAAGTGAATATGTAAGAGGAAAGATTGAAGATGATTGGTTTGTCCTTTTCTGATGACTATGAGTCATTGACTCGCTCTATTTTTGTCCTTACCTCTTTTCTTTTATTTGTGTATTTATTTTATTTTCTTGTCTCTTTGACTATTTGATGTAGTTTACTTCTCTTGTCTATTCCTTCTCTTTATATTATCATTTTCTTCTATTTGAAGTGTTGACTTTTTAGATCAAGGCTTCTTCATCTTCGAACTCTGTTAATTTATTAATTCATAAATATTATTTTTGCTGTTATGCCACCAACCAAATCTTATTTTATTGAAAAACGAATTACTTGTTCTGCTGCGAGAAGTATTCTAAACAGTAAATCGGATAAAACATCGTCGTTGTCCATTGAAATTCATAACAAATTAAATAATAATGTTAATGATGATAGAAGAAAAGAAATGAAGAAGAAGAAGAAAGTTGTTCCAGCAGAAAATGTACTCACCTCAGGTATGTATATAACCCAGGAAAGTATGAATTTTTTTTCAGCCGAGTTAAGTTAGTAACCTTATATGTCTCTCTTGTCTTTCACTTAGCGAAATAAATCAATGAGAAATTTTAGTCGATCTTATTGATGTTCAATCGCCACCTGAAGAAGCTCGTAGTCCACATATTGATCTTGTACGTCATACTTTACAATCTATTGCGATTGGCAGCTCATCACCTCCACCTCATGCAATCCCACCAATTAACGACAATGTTCTTGATAAACATGATAGCTGTTGTCCTACTACTTGGGATACAACAAAATTAGGTGGGGATAAGTTATTTATGGAAGAAATTTTTTTTGTCAATGTTTGTATAAACATGTTGGACAACTTGGTTTAATTCCCAGTTATAAAGATGATGCAGCAGTTAGAACGTGGCTTAGGAGGCAGTGCACGATAGAGACGAACGAAGTTGCTCAATGCACTGCCACAGATTTTTCTCAAATTATCAGAGCAGATAGAGAAATGTGTCCTGAACATTTTTGTCTCTTGACATTTTTTTCCAAAATGC